ATCATTATCATCATCATTATCATCATCATTATCATCATCATTATCATCATCATTATCATCATCATTATCATCATCATCATGTGATGATAGATGTTATGTCGGAAACGATGATGCTTCCCACATTCCTCAGCCCGCAAAGTTCTCTAGTGACTTCACATCGTACTCCTCGTCCGTTCCAACGAGGAATCCAGTAGAGCGTCGAGAAGAGAGGCCCAGACAAGAGCCTGCCAAGACGCATGACTCCTGCATGCGGTCTCCTGATCTGCTGCTGTACGTACTCCTCCATACAAGAGTTGGGTGTCCGGGAGCGGCCCTCGCGCGCGCTGCAGGTACGGATACGGATAACACAGCAGCACATCATGGAGAGCCTACTTTTACGTAGCAACTGACTAAGTTACTTGCTGGCTAAGCAAGGATACATGCCTGCCACTGGCTCAATACCACAGTCCTAGCCGAAGAGAGTCCAGTCGTGCAATTCCTCGATACATGGGAGCGTTGTCTCCGGCTTGTCATCCATTTATTCCCCTTTTCCCATGTCCCTGGGCATCTCCCAATGTCCCGCATATTGCGAAAAGGTGTTACTGTACTGCAATGTATCCGCTACGTCCTCGTTCCTCGCAAGTCCAAGCACAGTGTGCAGCAAGGATGGAGCCAACACCGTAAAGCAAAGCCGCATCCATTCAACCATCCATCCACCCATTCATCCATCCATTCATTCATTCATGTACGTGCCCCGTAGGAATTATTCATCCACCAGCCAGCCTCGCGACACGACGACGGAGGTCACAGGAGCCCACCCACACCTCAAAGCTGGCCCTTGGCCACTAGCCCAGGGATGGTGCCAGCACCAGGCGACCAGTCAGAGGCCGGAGGCGCACTTTTCCCTCATGAAGCCATCTCACCGAGGCTGCAGCCATGATTCCGTGTCAGCGGTCGTAACGTCAGCTTTGGTCGATCATGAGACCGTCTTTTTTTTTTTTTTTTCTCTTTCCCTCCTCTTCTCTCGCTCTCTGTCTGGCTTGCCCCTCCAGCTCGCCATGACTGATGAATGGATTCCCTTGGCGTCCATGTGCGAGCGGGCGGGTAGACGGACGGACAGACAGCGAGCTTCTGGTCCAGGTGGAGGGGAGTCATTCAGAATGGTGCGGATAATGCTGGCAGTAATCGCATCACACCGCCCCTCCTCTGACGGCGTCCGCGTCCCTGCCTTAGTACACGTATCCTCGGCCCATCACGGCGCCTCTTCCCTTGATCGTGATTCCGTCAGCCTTCGCACGCAGGAGTATGCCTAAGAACAAGTACAGCGCCGTGCATCTTTTCTACCCCTCCTTCCCCCTCCAACGGTGAAGCTGTGTGGAGAGAGAGAGAGGAGGGGGGGGCAAGGCAGAGACGAGCCCAAGTGCGCACGCAGGGACCAGGCCCCGAGAACAGGCCCATGGCTGTTGGCAGACATGATTCGTCCCAAGGGAAATACCTCTTCATCTCGCCAGTCGTCATGCCTGCGCTGGGCGACCCATAGTTCGGTGGGTTGAGCTACGTACGGCTCTCTTTCATTCTTTCTCTCTCTCTCTCTCCTGAAGCCGGGAGAGGCCTGTAGCTGCCCATCCTTTCCTCAAAGCTGGAACAGCGCTACGGCGCACACGAGCTAACAATGTGCCTACCGTGTCAAGTCGCCCATCGCATCAGCCAAGAGATTGTAAGACGGCAGAAAGGTGCAGAGCCGGGCCAGCGGTCAGGTCAGCAGCAGCCCCTCGATTGCTGCTGGGAGGAGATTGATCACAGAGTGTCCGGCGTGTGTATATATGTACCAACATTATCTGCATTGACGCCAAAAGTCCACAAACAGCCTGGCGGCTGCTATATCCGGTCGTTGCCGACCAAGAACTCTCGCTCTCTGTGTGAAAGATGATAACGAAGAAACCATGCCGCTAAGTATCCACTAGGTTGGTAGCTAGTATGTACATCAGCGCACACCACCAAACTAGATCGCGGCAGACGCAAAAAAGAATATCTTCCTCCGCATACGTCCTGAACAATAAATCAAACCAAGTAACGCTGTTTGGGCCGTGAGGCCAGGTGTCTTTTTTTGATATTCCTCCTTTCGTCGCCCCGGGAAGCAAGAGAACAAGCTGCGTTGTAACCAACAAAAGAATAGGCAAAGTGCAAGCGTACCCCAGTGATGATCCAGGTGAACGCAGCCCCTGTACTTGTCGCGGGCTCGACGCAAGGGGCCGTCGTCCATCAGAAGGCATTTGGACGTTGCCCGGTTGACGTGGGCGGTGGTGATCCAGACCACCTCTCATCTCCATGGTGACATCCCAGAACAGTCGTCTGAGTCGTTTGCGAGTCGTCGATTATCCCTCGCGGGACTGGGGCATTGTCGTGTGCTTGACGCTGTCCGGCAGTGTCCACCCCGCATGGTGTCTCCCGTCCCAACAAGTCGTTTTCCCTCATTTGGCGGGCGCTCCAGGGTTGCGTGGCCGATTCAATCTGTCCATCATGCCCCTGTCAATGTCATTCTTGTCGACCAGGTTGCTCAAGCTCATGACCGACGTCCCCTGTTGTCCACCCTGCTGTGCCTGGCCCTGTCCCTGCTGCCCAGGCTGTCCCTGGAGCTGCGCCGGCTGGTTGGTGGGCGTCACGCTCGGAGCCGGTGCCTGGCGAGCTGGTGTAGACCCTCCACTCTGTGTCATGGTCGCATGCCCCGGGGAGCGATCGCTGTATGTACCAGGCTGACTCTCCGTCTTCACCTGGGGAAGAACCGGGTTGCGCGGGCTGTGCGTCGAGAAGGATCGCATAGGTAACCCGCCAGGACTGCTTTTGCTCGAAAACTCGGCCGGGGAGCGGCGTCTAGGCTCGTCCTCGGTGGCGCCGACCCTAGGTGGTGGTGGGCGGTACGCATCCGTATCTTCTTCAGATCTCCGACGACGTCGGCCACTCTGCGAGCTATCCTCGGGCTTCGAAGTCCACGAGTACGCCGACTCCGCAGGGGACTGGGCATGTCGCCCCGGTCCCACTCCCGGTCCCGGCCCTTGTCCTGGAGCATGTGCCGGAGCCTCACCGTGGTGCGGCGGAGGCGGATATTGAGGCTGGTGCGGGTGCGGGTGCGGGTGTTGCTGATGGTGCGGCGGCGGCGGCTGAGCATAGTAGCCACCATGAGGTGGTGGTGGCTGCTGTTGATGTTGACCCTGTGGGTGCTGACCGTGCTGCGGTGGCGGTGGTTGCTGCTGCCCCGAAGGACCACCCTGAGGAGGATAGGCCAACCCTTGCTGGGGCGCCAGCGGTTGTCCGTATGCTCCATATAGAGGTGTTCCTGGCGGGACGCCGCCGGGAACTGCAGAGACCGGAATGAATGCGGCACCGCTCGTTGACGAGACTGGCTGGAAGACGCACTCTTGGTTCATGCGCGCGCAGTTCTGGCACTTGCCCCCGTTGTGGTACCCGCTGCACCGAATCTTTAGGTCATGTCAGCGTCGGACTCCTACCTACACCTTCCCAACGAACCTACCTTGCGCTTGCGACAATATTTACAGGCGATGGATGTCCTCTGTCGTGGAGCCGCCTGTGGCATCTGCGGTCCCCCTGGAGGAGGCCCATATTCTTGGGGATACGGCCCCTGATGGTAGTACGCTTGCGGCGGCGGGCCTGGCGCCCCGGGAGGCGGCTGCTGGTAGTAGTAGGGCTCTGGATGCCTATATGGAGGCTCCTGCCCATATGGACCAGGCTGCGGGCGGCCCGGTGGGTAGGGCTCGGGTCCTCGATAGCCTTGCCCCGCGCGAGGATCGGGATGTTGCTGAGGAGGCGGCAGGTAACTGCCTAGCGGTTGTTGGCCAGGTGGAGGAGGCGGAGGCGGATAGCCATTCGTCGTGCTAGGCGAGGCATAGCGGTGGTCTGATGGGTATCCGTGGCTGCCAGGCGGTGGCCCGTAGCCTGGTGCTCGAGGGTCGTGCATAGAAGGCAGTGATACAGAAGGGGCAGCCATCCCGGGGCGCGCTTGGTCGTCTGCTGCACGTTGAACGGCGTCGGGAGGCGGGTACAGCGACTGCGACGGATAGCGATTTTCTGGTCGGTGCTGAGGATAGTCGTTGCGATGGCGATCGTCGGCCATGCTACGTCAGACAAGGCCTAGGCGTGCTTGTAAAGCCCCCTGTTCGGTATGTTTCGCCAGTGCCCTTCTCTCCTTTTTGCGATATGTACTAGAGCGATTATGTTAGAGAGGTCCGGAAAGTGATCTACCGGTGTACAGAGACAGTAAGTACACTGAACAGGGACAAAAACGACTCGCGACACTGGTACACGACGAGCAACGCGCCAAAGGTGGATAAAAAAAAGGTGACGGGGACCGGGCCGGGGGAGGAGGGGAGGAATTGAAGGGTAATAGCAGGCAGACGAGACAAGGTTTAGGCGGTATCCTCTCTTTAGCGGCGGAGGTGAAGGGAATGCAGCGAAGGGTGCGGTGCGGAGCGCCCGGTCTTACAACCCTCTGTATGCACTGATCCCAGTAGCCAGAGACACCCGACTGCTGCGAGAGCGGCCACGGCCACGGCCTGGCCACGGAAGCACCCAGGACACGAAAACGGGTTCCGGGGGTGTTGGCCCAGGGCTGGAGCTGACAGTCAGCCAATCGTGAGCCAAGCTCCTGAGAGGACGGACCCGGCTGGCTGGCTGGCCATGGCCCATACCTGTTCGGGTCATCGAGCTCAGCAGACCAAGCTCAGCCTGACGGACGGAGCTCGTGGTGGCCACCATGTTGGCGCGCTGGCAAGTCGAGGCTGCTGCTAAGGTAAGGGCCCAGGAGGCAATCCAGCGGCTCCTAGGGGGACGCCCCGATCTTCTCTTGCTAGTCTAGCCAGGAGCAGCTCTGACGGCCTGGGGGAGGGAGGGGCTCGACTGGCGGCGGCGGCGCGGCCAAGCAGGCAGGCAGGAAGCGATGAGATAGGCCAGCAGCCTCGCAGAGCCGGGGATGAACCGAGCGGTGCGCGATGGTCGCCTGGATGTGTCTCGACTCGGCGACCGAAGGACTGGAATGCCAGCAAATTCTTGCCAAGCGGATATCTCGAACCATCGTCTCCCGGCTCGGCTGAATTCAGCCATGAGATCACAGTCCACGGACGTTTCCGTCGACCGCTAACCCCTTCATTCCACCAGAAGCGGCTTCGTGGCTGCCAAGTAAGTCTTTTTTTTGCCGGCAGGAGGTGAAGTGGTCGGCGAGCTGAGCCTCCATGGTGCACCAGCAAAATCTTGTTGGGTGGTGATCAACCCACGCTAAAAGCCAACCGCAAGCGCGTCAAATTTGTGTTCGACGACTACCGCTACCAGATGTGAGAGCGACTTTGTGGACATGCGCAGGCACGCGCGCGCAAGCGTCAGGCTTTCCATCGCCCATACACTTGCAATGCAAATGCAAATTCAACGTTTGGGGCGCCTTTGCGCAGCAAGTGTTCCAGTCGATTGAGGTGCCATGAGCAATCCGCATTCATCAGTCGAGTGCCGGTGAACTCCCAGTCATGAGCGACGAGTGTCGACGTCGTGCCTGCATGCAAACTATGCCCTCCTCTTCGATCTTGAATCGCGCCTGTTGGCACTATGCGGAGCAATTTTTATCTTGCATTGAAGACCCAAGATCCCATGCAAAGGTGGCACGTCGATGGCCAGACGCGCTTTGGCCCATCGAGCTGAGATTGCCGTTCATGTCCCTGATGTGCTTCGATACGTCGTGCGCAAGATGATGGGCCCGGTACATGAAAACAAGACAAGGACAAAACAGTGGCGCAAATGCAGAAAATGAATCTCACGTACCTTGCTTTGCGATATGTATCTTGAGGACTTGACGCGACTATGCCTTTCGGTTCGCAGACCCGTCCTTCCAGGTGTCGCCTTGTTTGTTGGACCCTATTGCACGTGATGGGACAACGGTGGTGAGGCAACAAGTTGTTTCGTCGTCCCCCGCCAGCGAATCGTCGCACGATCGTCGTGGAGATGGCCGGTTGTGACGGTGAGAGATGAGGTCGACCGCGATGTGTGATGATGAGGGGAGAATCGGGGTGCAGGCGAGTAGCTGGGAGGCGAACAGAGGTGAACAGAGGTGAGGTGAGGTAGAAATGAGATGAGAGGCGCCTGAAGAGTCCAGGTGCAGCGGGCAGTGTGGACCAGACCCAGGCCGGTCTAAAACCCCGTAGTGAGAACCAAGGTCAACAAGGACTAGGTATTTGCACCAGCGCAGCGGCGACTCGAGCCAGTCAAGATCCGGACTCTCACAAAAGGGCAAAAGAGAGTCTGGAAAACCCGCAGTGAACACACACACGTAGCTACTCCAGTTCCAGGGTGGAGGATACGCGCGCAGCAGACCTGCAGCAGCGTCGTCTGACGTTGGAGCACTCGCAGAAAAAGGTGCTTGCTTCCAGCACTGTCTGCGGCGTGACTACCGTACCTACTTGTACGGCCCTCTTCACTCCGTGTCGACCGTTGAAATCAAGTGCACGTCGCACGGCCTCGTTGGTCGTGTTGTGATAGATCTCTGCGCGACGTCGAAAGGTCGTGGTAGGTGCGCAGGTAGTGATCAAGCGAGGGTTTTGATACGGAGACTTTCACGTTGCGAGCAAGAACAAAAGACTGGACGTGATAAACCACGAGTCCACAGCACAATGGGAAGGGGGTCCGAGGGAGGGTGCCTGTGGCTCGGGATGGGCTCCATGGACCGTCTTGGGGTATTAGCTGGGGCGTACGTACACCCAACTGCAAGGAAGGCAGGTGAGAACTGAGAACCCAGGTGTCCGTACCGTCCAGTTGGCAAGCTGCAAGCAGAGAGACTGGAGGTGTGCATGTATGTGGTGGAACACATTCTTCAGGTGTGGATACCATGGAAGGCACCTGCGATGGGGTGCCCCTAGCCAGGCTGTTCCGGGGTGTCAGCATTCGTAGTGTTTTGAGTTTGGGCAGCACCAGCTGCGTGTGGGGTGCTTGGGACAATGGGACCGTTCCTTGAGTCAAACGACTGGTTCTCAGAGCCACAGGACCAGCTACGCCAGCAGGGGCACACTTTTCTTCACCCAATGACCTGCCGCGTATCCAGGGTACGCATGCACGCAGTCTGTCGTTGGGCGCTGCGCTTTCTGTGGGCTCTGCAGGCTTCTGGCGGGCAAACGCGAGCGGTGGAGTGACCGGGAATCTCCTTGTCGATGCTCGTTCGCTGGCTTGCGCTGCAGCAGGCTCTATTGGGCCTCGACTGCGCTTGGTCCCGGCCGCTGCGTGTCGATGATGCAGCACTGATGCTGGGGCCTGGCTGTTGGCTGGGTTGTTGACTGGCATGGCGGTACGCAACGCACCGCACCGCACCGCCGGCGGGAAATTCATCAACAAGTGGGCAGAACGGGAAGGCCACTGAACACTCACTGTCGGGAGGGCAGGAAGGCTGCAGGCAAGGCCGCAGCCTGCGCAACTCGTGTGGTGCTTTCGTCCATCCGTTGAGCTTATCAGGTCTTGACGGCCTGGCATCGGACACTCGCAACAATTGTTACCGCAGTTTACTGATCAGCGTCATAGAAGTCGTCGACGTGGCCATGCGTATGTCGCTGCCTTCTTGCTTCTGCATGCGTCTCTTCCTCCAAGAGCCATCGAAGGCTGCTCGGGCGCTCGGCCGTTGCCCGGTTAAATGATGAATCGCCTTGTGATCCATGGGCCATGGCAGCCCATTCGACCACTCGCTTGACCAGGCGTTGATGAAAAGCAACCGGTAGATGGCTATCCTGGTTGATGACTAGTAACTTACGTAGGAGACAACCAGCTGCCGTGTGCGTCAAGCTCACGCGAGTGCGAAGGAGTTGTCTCGGTGAGGGACGGGACGAGCCCTGTCTGCGTGACGCTTGTCCTCGTCCCACAGTTGACACGACAGGGAGCCAGAAACACGACCTAACTTCCAAACAGCCCGGCCCGTTCGTTCCCTTGCCTTCAACAGCAGCTCCGATGATCGCCTGGGTGGTTGTTGTTGTCCTTGAGTGAGACAGGGCGTACGCAAACGCGGACTGGTGCTGGCTCGGCGCAACCTCTCCAGAAGGAATTAAATGAAGGCAGAGGATTGTTGATCGAGAGCCGCCTCAGCGACTGGAATGGGTTTCGCACCCGTCTTCCTCACCACTCGAGAAGCCTGGTGAACTTGTTCAATTCCTGCTGGATCCGGATGATTGCTATGTAGTATGTCGCGTTGTCGCCGTTGTACTTTGACAGTGCGTCCCCTCTACCGAGATAATTACGCAGTACGTAGAATTGGCAGAGTGCTTGATGGTGAAATTTAGTGATGCTGACCTCACCTGTGTGGCCGCGTGGGTTCCCGAAGACGGCTGTTGGACGCCACGGGCCGCAGCAGTCAAAGCCTGTCGCGACTCACTGCCGCCTGGCCCGCCTCGTCGCACCGCGGCCGATTGATGTCCATCCTCCAGACCTCCACTGGGTCTGGCTAGGAACCATGTCTCGCTGGGACGGTAGGCTGCGTCCAGTCGTCGTCACGGGAGCAGCTAACGACGGCGACCCCAGCTGCTGGACGACATGCTATTGGTGACTACCGTAGCAGTATCACTTTACCAGGTCCCGCGCCGCGCACGCTACTGCACTGTGCCCTCCTCTGGGTTTTCGACTTTGGACCCGGGTGGCGGCGTCACTGCGGGTCGGCTCCAGCGCGGGTCCTGGGAGGGGGCGTGGCCGGCAGCACACCCTCCCATCCTGCTGCAACCGCGGATGCTCCCTCACCGCTTTTAGACTGTGGATGCTGTCCGACAGGGGTTTGCCGCGTGGAAAGACTCGTCAGTCAGGCCAGGCCGCCGACCTCAAGCTTTCGACGGGGAAGGCAGAAAGGAACACAAGCCAAAAAAGCAAACACGTTCTATCGGCGATGCACGTATATTACTGATCGCAGCAATGTACTTTCTTCAATGACTGCGGCGTACATTGAGGTCCCTTGCTTCCGCGAGATGGCAGATGCCCCGTACTGGAACCCGAGGCAGACGCCCATAACCGAGGCTCAAAAGTCGCATGTCGGTGTTGATGATTGTTGCAGCGTCTTTGCGCAGAGGACGGGCACTCTGAACGCGTGCAGCTGCTTGCATTCATCACAGC